CCTTGCCTGTGTGTGTTCAGCATTGTACGTTAATGGTTATGTACAGTGTGTGCAGTGGTGGGATTCAGCCAATTCGCACCACTTCGGGAGAACCGGTTGTTAACTTTCTGAGCAGTTTGGTGAACTGGTTGTTGGAAGAAATCATTAGGGCAGAGAACCGGTTGTTAAATTATTTGAATCCCACCACTGAGTGTGTGTGTGTGTGTGTGTGTGTGTGTTTGAGGGAGTGAGAAACAGCATGCAAATCCAAGGTCTGAGTTATCTTAAAGTGTTCACTTTGCACAAAGAACCAATATTCAGAGGCTTGTACCTGATCAGGTTTTTTTTTTTTTTTTAATTTGATTTATATGCCGCCCTTCTCCGGAGACTCATGGCGGCTTACAATGCGTTAAGCAATAGCCTTCATCTTTTTGTATATTTATATGAAGTCAGCTTATTGCCCCCTCAAACTGGGTCCTCAATTTACCTACCTTAGAAAGGATGGAAGGCTGAGTCAACCTTGAGCCTGGCGAGATTCGAACCTGCAGTAATTGCAGGCAGCTGGTCTTAATAACAGGGTGCTTTAGACCACCGTATTACCAAGGCTCAAATCTTTTTCAGGCCTTTTGCTAAGATGCCCATTATTGTGAGAACTTGATTTTGTAATAGGAAAAAAGGAGCTTAGATGAAATTATAATTTCTTAAAGTACTGCATGTATTTTGAGTGCCAAAAAGAAACAACCATTTGTTCCAAAAGCACAAAGCTCTTACCAGAAATCTACCACATCACTCCATTAAATGCATGACACGTGACATTTCTTAACCTAAATTCTTCCCTCCGAGCTGGTACATAATATTCCAAAGAGCATTAAAGAGGAATGGTGATGGTTTTAAAGAAAGTCTAATATTAAGCATCTCCTTCATTTCCAGAAATAGAGTGCCATTCTTCTCCACTTCTACTGTCAATTAAGAAAGGGAGCATTCAATTGGGATAGATTAAAATATACAGATGCGGATAATTTTAACACTGCAGATAGCTGATGCCTCTGTGCAATTTTAAACGATAGAGTTCCACTATCAATAATGAGATATGTTAAATTAGCAATATATGCCCAGATTTGTTCTCAATGGATGGCCATTGAAATCTAATCTTGCTTCTATTATATAGGTAGTCCTCAACTTACAACCACAATTGAGCCCAAAATTTCTGTTGCTAAGTGAGACAATTTTTGAGTGAATTTTGTCTCATTTTATGAGCTTTCTTGCCACGTTTGTTAAACGAATCTCTGCAATTGTTAAGTTAATAACACAGTTGTTAAGTAAATCTGTCTTCCCCATCAACTTTCTTGTCAGAACATCGCAAAAAGGGATCACATGACCCTGGGACATTGCAAGTAAGAACCAGTTGCCAAATTTTGATTATGTGCCTATGGGGATGTTGCAACGATCATAAGCGTGAAAAATGGTCACATGTTCTTTTTGTTTTATTTCAGCAAAAAGTCCATAAGGGGTTTCCAGTTACTGACAACTGTAATTGTTGTCTTTTCTCTGGTCAAGTAAGCTAATTTTGCCGTCTCTGCAAATTGTGTCATCTTCACCAACCATTCCTCTGTTGTGGGTATCTCAGCAGTGGGGGTTGCTACCAGTTCATCCCGGATTGGGCGAACGAAGTAGTGGTGGTGGCAGGAGGCTCCGCCCACCCGCCTGGCCGCTTCCCTGCATGCGCAGAAGCATCACACATGCGCAGAATCATCGCGCATGCACGCAAGCGCGCACGAGCGAACCGGTAGAAATGGGTTTTGAAACCCGCCCCTGTATCTCAGCATCTTTCTGTCTTTGTGCATATAATGTAATTGGAGGGAAAGAAACAAACCACCAATTGCTTTCTTTAGCCTGTCAATTCAACATCTGTTGCCAGACGCATTCCTGTGATAGACTAGAAATTCACAATGAGGTGGTTGCAAGTTGTATCCGCTCAAGGAGTGGGAAGTGCTTTGAAGCAGAGTCCTGAAACTACTGCTTTGAAATTCCCCTTTGGATGCATTATCTTCAGAGCGACAGGAAGTTTGGATATCAGCATTTATTTTCTCTGTACAGAAGTCCCTATTATTAACAGTGTGATGGTAATAATAATAATTAAAAAAAAACTTTCTCCAGTGTGATGGCCACACTGGAGAAAGTTTTCCTAGAACAGCTTTTCCCAAATGGATGTCCTCCAAATATATTGGGACTACAGATTTCAGAATTTTCAACCAGGGTTGCCTAACTATTTTGGGAACTGTAGTCTCAATACAGCTGGAGGATAGCCAGTTTGGAAAAGGGAGAATTTTAAGGATCAAAGGTCACTTAAAAGCAGCTGATGATGGGGCAATCACAGATAGGCCATTAGAGTTGACATTGCTCCAAAATATCCTTCCTTTTTGCTTTTAGATGCATTTTACAAACAGCTGTAGATTATCATACTTAAATCAATCTCTCTCTCTCTCTCTCTCTCTCTCTCACACACACACACACACACACAAATTCCCCCACCTCCACAAAATAATTGTCTACCCTTAAGTAATAGTATTTAATCCAGCCAGTAGACCCAGCTATATTTTATTACAGAAGGTACAATACAATACAATATTCTTTATTGACCAAGTATGATTGGACACACAAGGAATTTGTCTCTGGTGCAGAAGCTCTCAGTGAACATATAAACAACGAAGTAATATAATCATATGATATCAATAGTAGAAGGTAATAGGAAAGATGAGAAGGATAATAGTAATACAGCCCTTCTCCAAAGATTAATATCCTTAGACATAGGACAGGGTTGTGGGAATTAGGTGTTCAGCAGAGTGATGCAGAAGGTATGATCATGCCTTGCGTTTAAAATGCCATTATTTATTTTATGTATTACTTAAATAGATTTATATGGTCACCCAGCTCGCACACAGTGACTCCAGGTGGTGTACAACATTAAACAACACTTTACTCAACTATTAGAGCTGGAAAACAGATTTGTATGCCAGGAATATAGAAGCACTTGTAAATCATGCAGTGCTGTGGTGGATATAGAAAAATTGTATCACTTGTTTTGTTTATAACAGTATGATGTAAGAGCTACTGTTAACAAAATCACTAAGCACCCATGAGACCATTAGATTTAAGATCTAAAATTTCCTAGCCATTCCACTCAAACAGCTTCTATTATCTGAAAGCTTCATAATCTTCCTCAACAGTCTCTGGCGAATACTGCTAACCACAGGAATTTGTGATAGGACAGTTGTAATTACTGAATTATAATTAATGACTGAAAGAATAAGCTATGTGAATTTATAGTGAGCTGGACATTTTGAGCTTTGGTTTGGTTTAGTTTTGGTTTGATGCTATTTAATGAATGATGTTGTTTGTTTAAAACAAAATAGCATTTGCAGCCTTTGTTATACATTTTAAAAGAATCAATTTGCATGTTGTTTATTTGTCCTCATGATGGAACTGATTCTACCTTGGGAACTTTTTGTTGCTTGGAACAACTACAAATTATATACTTTGCTAACACATAAAAATATGATGAAGCTGGTGTCTCCCTAAGCTCAGAAGTACAAAAGAAAGCCTCAAATTTGCGGAACTATCCAGTTAGGGAAGCTGCGAGGTACACAGAAATAATGTTTGTGAGTTGCAAGTTTTGTACTCATGGTTTGCAAAGGTAGCTACCATCAATATATGCCGATCTTTCCTCTGGGAATTCAAGGTGTCATATAAATATTTCCTTTAATTTTATGCCTTGTGAGCAGTGGTGGGATTCAAATTTTTTTTACTACCGGTTCTGTGGGTGTGGCTTGGTGGGCCTGGTGTGGCTTGGCTTGGTGGGCGTGGCTTGGTGGGCATGGCAAAATCTCCATTTCCACCCCACTCCAGGAAAGGATACTGTAAAATCTCCATTTCCACCCCACTCCAGGAGAAGGTTACTGTAAAATCTCCATTTCCACCCCACCCCACCCCACTCCAGGACAAGGGAAGGATACTGTAAAATCTCAATTCCCTTCCTACCCCACTAACCTGCTTTCCAGCTCAGTTCTCCTGTGCAGGGCAACAAAAGAAGACCCAGCTGATCAACTGGGACTCGATCAGCTGGGACTTGGGAGGCAGCGAATAGATGGGGGCAGGGACAGTCAGAGGTGGTATTTGCCGGTTCTCTGAACTACTGAAAATTTCCGCTACTGATTCACGAGAACCGGTCAGAACCAGCTGAATACCACCTCTGCTTGTGAGGTAGACCAGGATGAGAGATGGGCCCTAAATCACCCAATGTGCTTCCATGACTGGGTGAATTTGAACCTGGGTCTCTTTCCAGTCTTAGTGCAATATGTTAATCAACCACCATCTTAATCTGTGACTTTATACCATTTCCCAAACTGATGTCCTCCTAATATATTGGTTTGCAACACCGTTCCCCCAAAAAGTAATAGTCAACACAGTTTGAGACAATGAAGCTCATAAAAGTAGTTCTAGTTCAATACTGTACATAAGTGCTACTATGGTTTTGGAGAGATAAAGGAGAATCCAGCATCTAAACAAGACTAACTTCTAATCTTTCTAGTTAGAAGTATGCCTTATTGGGAATAATTTCCAAGTAAAGGTACATAAGATTCCACTTCAGGTATCTCCTTTCCGTAGAAGAGTTTTTGAGATGTTTTTGGAAAGCCAAGAAACAGAGTATTTGGTCTAGTCCAGAGGTGGGTTTCAGCAGGTTCTGACCAGTTTTGGAGAACCGGTAGTGGAAATTTTGAGTAGTTCGGAGAACCAGTAGTAAATATTCTGACTGGCCCTGCCCCCATCTATTCTCTGCCTCCCAAGTCCCATCTGATTGGGAGGAAATGGGGATTTTGCAGTAACCTTCCCTTGCCACGCCCACCAAGCCATGCCCACCAAGCCACACCCACAGAACCGGTAGTAAAAAAATTTGAAACCCACCAGCAAGTCCTCCACTTGCTGCTTTTCCCTTCACTTCCTTCTACTTTTTTACCTTATAGGTGTCAATTTTTCCAAGCTAAAGGAGGAAGAGCCATGTCTTCACTTCTCTGCAATCCTCGTAAGTATTTTCTGGAATCTTTGAGAAGCTACTGGTACTGGCAAGCCGTCCACAGTGGGCCTCCATAATTCAGGCCCACACTTGAATTCAGTCCTTGTAGCCATTACAAGTGCCTATTTGCTTTCTGATCTCTCTCTGAGCCCGAGGCTTACGATTATGTTGCTATCATCTCATCTCATCCCAAACCATACCATAAATCTTTTAAAATAAATAAGTAAACACCAGAGGCTGCCTTAAGTCTTCCTTAGTTGTTCCAACGTTAAAGTAGGATGTTTCCTCACAACTAGGCCATAGACAATACCAATTTTATCATAAGTACAATCTGACATGGTTTATTTATGTTTCAGTGGAGTTAGACGAACTCTGAGCATTTGTTGAGTACTTTCTGCTGGTATAGGCATCCCACCCTCTTCTCTCCTCCCTAATCTCTGCTCTCCAAAACCAAACAATTTTCTCCTCCATACACCAGGCTTTGAAGAGGAATCAGCCCAACTAATAACTGACAGGTGCAGAATATGATGTCAAGAGGCTGTTACGATGCTATCCACATACATACATATCTGCCAGCTTTTAAGTTCTACTAATTTTTTATTTTTTAAAAAATGGGTTTACAGCTGTTGTTGAAGAACACTAAATAAGCCCAGCTTGATAGGGGTTGCAGGATTCACAATGTGTGGTAGGAGGGAGATTCCCGCAATACCATGGAACCCCCCTCCATCACCATGTGCCTATCAGATGTAATATCTAACAGGGCTGTGAGAGGTGGCAGGAGAAAGGAGGAACTGACTCTGATGTACCCCTGGAATCAGAAACTCGAGGATATTGAAGAAGCTAAGTAGCACCTCCCATTCAATCTGCTGCTGGGGACTTGCGGATAGCACAGAGTATGTTTCAACAGATGGCTGAATCTGCAGATTTGCTATTTGCTCGAACTCATTAAGCAAATGTGATGAAAGAAAACATCAGCCTCCTTCTGAGTGAGTCACAGCAGCAGAATATGAGTGTCTACAAACTCGGGACCTGCTGAGCATAAAAGTTGCTCTGGGGTTGGAGGAGAAGGTTGAGGAGACAACAGATGCCAGAGTTCAACAAAGAGAAGCTTACAGAGAAAGTGCTTATTAGGACTATATATATATATATTAACACTTCCACCCTCCTATACTACTTGTTTGGGACTCAGCTCTTCTCCGGCAGAGAAGAGAGCTGGTTCTTCAAGCAAGAAACCTTTCCTCAGAGGGGAGGATGGAGCCAGAGACTTTTCAAGTAAAGAGTTGCTTCTATGCCCAAAGCTGATGCTGAAATGATTATTGAGATTGCTGGTGTAAGAACAGAAGGAAAAGCCTCAAACTGTTGCTGTGAGACCTCTTGACTTCCTTGGATGGACTCTGAATGTTACTTTTTGGATTGGACTGCTGAAACTCTAAAAAGTTTTTTTCTCTCTCTCAAACTCTTGTCCCTGAACTCTCAAGTGACCAAAGAGAGTAAACTTCAGCAGGCTCCCTACATATTATAGAGAGTCCAGAATTTGCTTTCCATTCTAACAGTCAGCTTCTCACTACTCTGTCTATAAGGATCCCTGCCATATCCAGTTCCAGCTCCAGTTTGGCTCTTGGTTAAGCAAAGTGATTGGTGGATATATTCTTAGATGCTTAGCTGCGTATAGGAAATGTTTGGAATCTGCTGACTACAGTGTTGAATGAATTGCAAAGCACTGAGTATTGCAAAGCACTGAGTGAAAGGATATTTAAATTTGTGCACCTGTTAAATCCACTGTTTTCTTTCATGGAAACAACCGTATTCACAAATACTGCACACACAAATAATAAATATGCATTCCAATTTGGAAAAATATGACTTTAAATGATGTATTGGATTGTGTTCACTTAGGAATTCATTGAAGCACAAACATTGACCAGAGTGCCTAATATTTGCATTTAATTATATGTAGATGTTACTGTACTAGAACTAACACAGGGAGTGTCGAAATGTCTGATCTTCTTCTCAGGTATGCAACTGGATGACAATCTTATTCAAATGCAACAAGGAACAATGATGCGCAAGGTGAAATCCAAGAACTGGAAGAAACAACGATACTTCATGTTGCAGCAGGACTGCATGACAGTCTGGTACAAATCTAAGATGTCTGGCAAAGCCAAATCAGCCTGTGAGTTTGATTACCTGCACCATATTATTTGCAAGAGGGCTGATTCTCAGTAACACTGTCTTTGAGGGTGGGCTTTCAAATAGTGTAATAGTGCAGAAGAGAAAAATTGGGAAATCTAGCAGAAATCTACCCACAAAGCTATATAAAAAAATGTTTATGAGTACCAATTCTGAGAAGGATTCAGAGCTCACAATAAGTGCAGAAAGACAACTAAAGCTGTTATAAGTATTGGTTTGCATGGCTTCAGGGAAGAAGATAAAGTTTTGCATAACATTGTGGGGAATGTAGATGTGTATGTCCATATGTGTGCTCTCAAGCCTCACAATTTCTCATGTACATGACATTTTCTAGAATAAATTTTGTAAGCTTTGTTTAAAGTGTTTATGTTTGAGAAAACAAGAGTTTGGGATGTAGGTATAGCCATCCCCATGATGGTCTATGTAGTGGAATTACCATTGCTACTTTGGCTATTGGATATCATGCAATTGATCTCATCTAGGGGATACCAAATTAATAGAAGAATGTTGAATAGAATAAAGTCAGGCATCAAATATATTGTATCAAATTGCAATTAAGGATATTTTTATTCCGTGTTGTTGTATCTCCTATAGAGGCATTGAGTGCCTTATTGGCATTTTTCTGCTAGTTGTGCTACTGCTGAATAAGTGGCATCCTGAATGCAGTCAGCTTCTCTTTAACTAATAATGAGAATCCTCCTCTGGGATTATGCTGGATATATTTTTATTCATATTATTGAATTTATTTTCTTGGCTCTAATTAAAAAAAAAACCGCAATCATTTCGATTCCTCTATTTGTGTTTATGTTCAGTCCAGACAGAGAAGCAAGGAATGCTTTTATAACTTAAGCATAACCCTCTATGTAAAGGCTTATCTTTTTTGGTTATTCTTCTCTCAAGTTTCTGTAAGTGATGTGGAGACAATCCGTGAAGGACATCAATCAGAGGTGCTGCGAAGTCTGGCTGAGGAATTCCCTGCTGAGTGTTGTTTCACTGTTGTCTTCTATGGGCGGCGAAGCAATCTAGACCTCATTGCCAGTTCAGCAGAGGAGGCTCAGTGTTGGATCCAAGGTCTGAGGCGCCTCATAGAGATAGTCATTAACATGGATCAGAAAGAAAGGCTTGATCAATATCCTTACATTTAATTATCTGCCATCCTTTTCAGAGCTTTTCCCACAAAAAGGGGGGCTGGAAAGGAAACTCAGCTTGAGTGTAATATTGGAGACACACTGACACATCAATGTTTATTCCAGAATGACAAGTTAAAGGAAATGTCTTATTTTAACCATTAATTTCAAATATTAGATGTAGTTAGAAATGCAATACTTTCCTCCCTTTATAAAATGTAAGAAACAAACAGCCAAGAGAGTTTTCTCTTCCATTGCAGTTCCGGATCACTTCCATTACGATCTGTCCTGAAGTAACAAATGTGTGCTCATCTCCAGTGTGTTTTGTTTTGTCAAAAATATACATTGTGTCATCATTCCGAGTAATGAACTCAGGGAAAGTCAGGACTCTGACACTTTGTTCAGATTCAGGAAACCCTTTATTGAGTACATCATATCGGCATTTAGAAAGGTGAAGCTAGCTCTAAATAGCTTCTATTTAGAAGCTTGGGGATAGTTAAAAGAATAGGATTTTTCTACCCCCCTAGGTTTCTAAGGTCACATGAGCCAATCAAGTCAGCCACAGTTTCTCACTCAGCTCCGACAGGTGTCTGTTCACATGGTCTTGGTTCAGACACCAGCTGGTAGATGTTTTGACTAGCAGCTGAGGCACCACATTCCTAAATTCCCCCATTCCCCCCCCCCGTGAATGGCAACCAAGAAACGAAGCAAGAGTAAGCATGAGAAAGAATGGCTTCAGCTGAAGTCGTTTTGCAGGTTGACACATTGTTTGTCTGCCCTGATCCTATGAGTCTGTTTTCCTTAATCCACACCTGGGTTGCACATGGATCTGTGACTGGTTTTTAAAAGCTGATAAAGACAACAATGGGCGGATGAACTTCAAAGAGGTCCAGCACTTGCTCAGAATGATGAATGTGGATATGAATGAAGACCATGCCTTCCAGCTCTTCCAGGTAAATCCGTATGTGGAGAATAGGTGGAACTAGATTACATAAAAGCGATTCCTTGGCTAGTTCATAAGAAGGCAACACAAAGTCACATTGTCACCATCATCCACTGATGAGATTACAGATATACTTCTAGCCCCTCTTGGTCTCTGCACATAATGTTTATCTTTGGACTTGGTTCTTCGATTTGTTTTCAATTACTCTATTTATACCCCAATGAAATATCCATTTGGCTGTGGCTCCTTGCCAATCTAAATGCTTTGTTTTCTGGAATATAATTACACAGGCCAACTTGACGCTGTCAGTCATCAGTTTAATCTTCTCTTCCTCAGTCGGCATGGTGGATGAAAGTAGTAGGATTTGTAGCCTGGCACTTTTAGAATACTATAATCAATTATAGAATACTATAATCAGGCTCAGGCTCAACCCTTCCAAGACTGAGTGGCTGTGGTTCCCGGCATCCGGATATAGTCAGCTGACTCCATCGCTGACTATTGGGGGCGAGTCTTTGGCCCCCTCGGAGAGGGCGCGCAATCTGGGAGTCCTCCTGGATACGCAGCTGTCCTTGGAGGAACATCTGACGGCTGTAACCAGGGGGACCTTTTATCAGGTTCGCCTGATCCGCCAGTTGCGACCCTTTCTTGATCGGGATTCCATGTGTACAGTCACTCATGCCCTCGTCACCTCTCATCTGGACTACTGCAACGCTCTCTACATGGGGCTCCCCTTGAAGAGCACCCGGAGGCTCCAACTGGTCCAGAATGCGGCCGCACGGGTAATTACGGGAGCTGCATGGCGCTCCCACATAACACCGCTCCTGCGCGAGCTGCACTGGCTCCCAATGGTCTTCCGAGTGCGCTTCAAGGTGTTGGTTACCACCTTTAAAGCGCTCCATGGCATAGGACCTAGTTATCTTCGAGACCGCCTGCTGCTACCGACAACCTCCCATCGACCCGTGTGCTCCCACAGAGAGGGCCTCCTCGGGGTGCCATCAGCCAAACAATGTAGGCTGGTGACCCCCAGGGGGAGGGCCTTCTCTGTAGGGGCACCTACCCTATGGAATCAGCTTCCCCCAGAGATAAGGAGAATCCAAGACCTCGGTGCCTTCCGCTGTGCCCTTAAAACTTTCTTTTTTCAGCAAGCCGGGCTGGCTTAACATATTTTTAAATATTTTTAATTTTATCATTTTAAACTGGGGCCAAATTAATATATATTCTTTTAATTGTTTTTAATGTTTGTATTGTATGTTTTTATCTGACTGTATACTGCCCTGAGTCCCTTGGGAGAAGGTGCGGTATATAAATTCGAAATAAAATAAAATAAAATAAAATAAATTGTAAAATTGAGTGATAAAATGGTTAACCAATAATTAAACAGCCTCTATTTCTTATCTTGTCTGCTTAAAGTAAATGCAAGCCCGTTAGATGAGGCTCATGCCAAACACTGTAACACATCGTTCATGTAATAGCAACTGCGGTATGGGCCTTCCTTTGTTGCTGAATTGAACTGCTCTGCAGCCATCCTTGCAATAACAAAAAATAGATGAAATTTGCCTCAATCACTACCAACCATTGGATTTCCCTCCAAATCCTAATAAATGGTACACAAGCTTTCTTTGGAGAGGATCAGAATTGTTGAAGATGTGAAGCCACTGGCACTTCAGAATCTCATGATCCACTGACCATGAGAGAACTGTGGGAAATAGACAGAACATTAAAGATATACTCAGTGTGCTCTCTATTTTGTGAGATTGCTTATTTCAGATCACTTTTATTTTATTTTATTCATTGGCACATGCGCGCAAACAGTGATTTGATTCAGTGTCTGGTAACCACTCATTAGTTATGTGCTAGACTTTGCCTATCTTATAATATATTTCCTGGAAAATAAACCTTTTTTTTTGTTGTTATGAAGTATATACTTTATTAACACTTGTTCAAGTCCAGTTTTCCTAGTCTCGGGAATCATCACACATATACACAGAATGCTTCCGTTTTTAAGAAGATGAAGGAAAACATTAGTTTAACATCAATATGGGTGGATGAAATTTGTCTCACTCATGGATTCAAGATGAGCTGAAAGCAACATTAGGGAAACTAGCAGGAAAAAAAGACATTGCTAGGTCATGTTTGCTCTTAAATCCAAGTGGGAAAAGGCCCTTAATTCCACTGGCTCCCTCAGTGGGCAGGAGGCCTTGTTTGCCTCAGTTTGATTGTTTTGTTGTACTTCCTCCACAAGGAAACTGTTGGTCAGAACCCTCCATTCCTTACAGATGGCTGACAAATCAGAAACAGGGTCGCTGGAGGGAGAGGAATTTGTGCTGTTCTACAAAGCACTAACTCAGCGGGATGAGGTGCTTGAGATTTTCCAGGAGTACTCTGAAGATGGGAAGAAGCTGACCCTCTTGGAATTTGTGGACTTCTTACAACAGGAGCAGATGGAGGTTGATGGCACCGATGAGCTTGCAATGGAACTGATTGACAGATACGAACCATCTGAGACTGGTGAGTTGGTGGGGAAACAAAAGGAGAACTGATGCGTCTGTAACTCAGCATCCAGAATTGGGACAAGTTGTCACTGAAGTGCTCAATGATACATCCAAGGTGTGACTTTCTAGTGTTAGCAGAATTCCCCCAAACCAATGTTGCTGTTTTGTAACAGTTACATGACTCCACTGTCATAGAGACTTCTAAGACCTGTTCTTTCCTGACTGAGCAAAGGCTCCTGCTTCGTAGTCTTTATTTAGTTCAGTGTCTGTCCCTTAGCAGGGCCTTTGTTTTGAAAGGCCTATCCATTTCTGTCCCTCCTCACCAACCTTTTCTTCCAATAGGCAAAGCTCGTCATATCCTGAGCCCAGATGGATTCCTCATATACCTCTGCTCACCAGATGGCTCCATCTTCAACCCTGAGCACAGGAAGATCTTCCAGGATATGTCTCAGCCTCTCTGCCATTATTTGATCTCTTCCTCTCACAACACATATCTGATTGAAGACCAGCTGCGAGGACAAAGCAGTGTTGAAGGATATATCAGGTATCAAAATGAAAGGAAAGATGAGAAAGCAGCTGCTGCATCAATAGTTCTTTTAGTGACAGAACCAAACATTAGTTTTGTTAACATTTACATTTAAGAATTACTTATGTGTTCATGTGGAAATTCTTTATCTTATAATAAGTACAAGTAGTCCTTGACTTATGAACATGAATTGAGTCCAAAGTTTCCATTGCTAAGTGACACCTTTGTTAAGTGAGTTTTGTCCCATTTTACAGCCTTCCTTGCCACAGTTGCTAAGTGAATCCCTGCGGTTATTAAGTTAGTAACATGGTTGTTAAGTGAATCTGGCTTCTCCGTTGATTTTGCTTGTCAGACAATCAGAAAAGGCGATCACATGATCCAGGGATAGTGCAACCATCATTAATATGAACCAATTGCCAAGTGTCCCAATTTTGATCACCTGACTATGGAGGTGCTGCAGTAGTGTAAGTCAGGGGTGGGTTCTACCTACCTTTACTACCGGTTCGCAACAGGGCCGCATGTGCTTGCTTTGCTTGCGTGCATGCGCAGAAGCATTCTGATGATGTCGGGGTCAGTGGGTGGAGCCTCCTGCCGGTTTTACTACCGGTTCTATAGAACCAGTCTGAACCGGGGGCAACCTACCACTGGTGTGTGAAAAACAGTCATAAGTCATTTTTTTCAGTGCAGTTTTAACTTCAAATGGTCACTAAACGAATGGTGTTAAATCGAGGATTACCTGTTAATAATGCAGCAAGCACATCAGAATCAGAGGTGGCATTCAGCAGGTTCTGACCAATTCTGGGGAACCGGTAGCGGAAATTTTGAGTAATTCGGAGAACCAGTAAATACCACCTCTCACTGGCCCCACCCCCATCTATTCTCTGCCTCCCGAGTCCTATCTGATCAGGAGGAAATGGAGATTTTGCACTAACCTTCCCCTGGAGTAGGGTGGGAATGGAGATTTTACAGTATTCTTCCCCTGCCACGCCCACCAAGCCACACCCATAGAACCAGTAGTAAAAATTTTTGAATCCCACCACTGATCAGAATGCCATCAGTATATTAAAATCCTAAACTGAATCTGAAATTACTGATCCATCTATCTTTGTCATGATTATGTTAATTCCTTTCCTTTATCTTAAGAAAGAAATAAACCAAATAGATAGTAGAGGAGGAGGACAGTAGAAATGGCTAGCAGAATGCAAAACTTGTCCTGAGAAGAATAAAAACAGAGTTTTCAAATAGAGGCTGAGCAGATCTGTTATCAGACTTTTTCCAGTCCTTTGATTCCATGTATAAACTTCTCTTTTCTTTCTACAGATTTTAGGTAAAATCCTAAAAGGCTAACAGATTTTAGTCCTCATTGTACTGTTAGCATTTCCTAATTTTTCAAGCCCTTTCTCAACTCATCTCTTGACAGATATCCCCGCCTATCTTTATAATTAGGGGCCAAAAAGCCCTACTAAGCAGGTATATACAAAAGTATGAAGGCTATTGCTTAATGCATTGTAAGCCGCCCTGAGTCTCCGGAGAAGTTAAGTGCTATCCACCGATCTTTGAACTGACAGAAAAAATAGACATGGTCCTGCCTGAATTTCTAGATTTTATTGTGGATTGTGGTGGAGTCCTCTAGGATTATAATATTGGAGGATTCCTGCTTCCATGTCCTGGATATGGGAACCAGTGCTGCTCAGGATTCCTTGATCTCCATTACAATCATGGACAAATCCCAAGTTATCTTGGCTCTAATAAGGGCAGTCATGTGTTAGATCTAGACTTTGGTTCAGACCCAATGGTGCAACATCAAAACAACAGAAATAATCATTCATCTGCATTACTTGGACACTTTCTAATCAAACTGAACATTACTAAATTTCTCAGACCCTTGCAAAGGTGGAACAATTAAGATAATTTGCCCCCAGGCATCTGATAGAACCAGTTAATTTTTTTGATTGGCACTTGGGGATTTCCCCCCACATTTTGAAGGGCAGTTCTGCCATGCCATTCCACCAGCTGCCTGTAGAATAGGGAAGCAACAGAGGTGTTAGATACAGTGTCAGGTAGCAGCTGAGGAAACTGCCAACATTGCATTCTGGGTCTCAGAGGTGAAGGGCCAATTAATTGCTTTCTCCTCTTTTCAGGGCTCTCAAACGGGGCTGCCGGTGTTTAGAGGTTGATTGTTGGGATGGATCAAACGGAGAACCAATTGTCTATCACGGCTATACATTCACTTCTAAGATCCCGTTCCGTGATGTTGTGACAACTCTTGAGAAATATGCCTTCTGGGTAAGTTGCATGCTTCTACCACAAGGAATCCCTTTAGGGCTGAACTCCACCTGTAGGTGGGAAGGGGGAATGATAAAAGTATGAATTTGTTAGGCTTGAGCAGAAGGAGTTTAATATAGCACAGAATAGGGGTCAGCAACCTGTTGCTCTGGAGCCGCATGTGGCTCTTTCACCTCTCTGCTGCGGCTCCTTGTCACTCAAAACATGCATCACAACCGCCAATGTGCAACATCCGCTGGCAGGCAATTTATTGAGCTTTTCAACCCCTGGTAGGCTAACCATGGATCAATCCAAGAAAAGAAAAGTTTCAGAAGAAAACAGAATGTTTAATTCAACTACATATGCTAGTTTTGGGGCCACTCAAGAAATAGTCAGGCACGGGAAGGGTTTTGTGGCTCCCGGTGTTTTCCAAATGGCTCTTTGAGTGTTTAAGGTTGCAGACCCCTGGCATAGAACAATGCCATCTTGCAAGGTATATTCTGGGCTTGGCTCTTTTTGAACAAGTGTTTAAGTAGCCTTGAAGATCTATTCCAACTCTCTCTTATTGTAACTCAGAATCCCTTCAAAAACAACTAACAATGGCCAATTATTTACGATGATGAGGATAATGATGATGATGAAGAATATTTGCTGTCCAATTCCCAATGAATGCAGGTAGCTCACAAATAAAAGTACTTTTAAAAATATAGTAAGAGAAAAAACAGAAGTATAAAAGATGGTAATAGAATAGAATAGAATAGAATAGAATAGAATAGAATAGAATAGAATAGAATAGAATTCTTTATTGGCCAAGTGTGATTGGACACACAAGGAACTTGTCTTGGTGCATACGCTCTCAGTACAAGACCTGGACAGGAATGAAAAAGAAACAAACCCACACAACCCAAGAGGGCTTCACTTACACTTGATAAAGTTCAGCAGGATGGGAACCATCTGGATCTTGGGGCAAATCTCATTACAGAAGGCAGGCATTGCTACAGAGGTGTGCTTCTGGGATCCTGATAGATGGCATTGTTTACTCGAAAGAGCACGCCAACCCTGCCAGATTGAATTTGATGGGCAGATATTATATTGTAGTTTCCCATCTTAGAACAAACAAATATTAAAATTATTCAAAAAGGGACAAAATCCCCAAAGGGTGAATTTTAAACATGAACACTAATTGAAAACGTACTGTATGCATTGGTACCACAAATTTCAGCAAAATGGCCTGCAATTTGATGTACAGTCAGAAGAAACTCTTTGAGCTTGGTTGTTTGCTTGCAGACCTTTCATTACCATGTAGATAACATCTTTAGTTTTATCTTCAGTAGCACTGAAGATCTTACCTAATCAGGTAATGAAAAGTCCGCCAGCAAACAACCAAACTCAGAAAGCCCTAGGGATTCCACAGTTCAGTCCTAAACTACATATATTCTCTTCTATTTTGAACAGTCAGAAGACATATAGTGATATAATTATGTCATGTGAAGCTGGTGAAAATAAAGGAGCCCCACCAGGTTCTAAAAACGTCCTTTTTAAATTACCACCTAGATGCAGAGAGCCATAATTACAAAGGCCCCTATCCAATTCCAAGGAGCTGCTGATCCAGTTCTACAGAGGAATTATTGAGTCTGTCATCTGCACCTCTATAACTGTCTGGTTTGGTTTTGCAACCCAACAAGACAGACACAGACTTCAGAAGATAATTAGAACTGCCGGAAAAAAAATTGCTACCAACCTGCCTTCCATTGAGGACCTCTATACTGCACGAGTCAAAAAGAGGGCTGTGAAGATACTTACAGAACCCTCACATCCTGGACATAAACTATTTCAACTCCTACCCTCAAAACAACGCTACAGAGCACTGCACACCAGAACAACTAGACACAAGAACAGTTTTTTCCTGAACGCCATCACTCTGCTAAACAAATAATTCCCTCAACACTGTCAAACTAGTTACTAAATCTGCATTACTATTAATCTTCTCATTGTTCCCACCATCCATCTCCTTCCACTAATGACTGTAACCTTATTGCTGGTATCCTTAAGATTTATATTGACTGTTTCCCTATGACTATCATTAAGTGTTGTACCTTATGATTCTTGACGAATGTATCTCTTTTTTTATGTACTCCGAGGGCATATGCACCAAGACAAATTCCTTGTGTGTCCAAACACACTTGGCCAATAAAGAATTCTATTCTATTCTATTCTATCCCAAGACTCCTGCTGTCCCTAATGAAAATAATTTCAAAATGACAAGTATCGCAATGTCCTTACACAAATACATATGGGATGGAGTTTGAGTTTAGATATTACAATGGACATTCTGTTATTTGGCTTCTCTTGCCCACTCTGTGAACATCTAAACTAGGATTCACCACATATCCACGCTTATAATTGACTGTAATTTTGTAACTTTGTTGCAATAACATTCCACAATCCCAAGGATCTTCAAGAAATTCATCTATCTTCAAATTTCCTGAGTAAAAAGGCAGCTTTGAGTAAAAAGAATATCCATCAGTTTCCAGGGATCCTTACAATAACACCATTGTCCTCTTTTGGTTGCCGTGCTTCAATTTTAATCTCCCAAACACCTGGCCATCATTCCCTTATTTATCCAGGTTTCTGATTACCCCATCATTCTGTCTATCGAGAATCACTGCAGCATAGAACAACAAGACATCATGGCACAACTGCTGAAAGGCATCCTGGGAGAACGCCTCCTCATCAACACCATTGATGACCTTGTTCCTGTGCAATTGCCTTCACCTGAAGTAAGAACATAGAGTAATTAAGAGCTTTCATCTAATGATTATCCAGGCTGGCCCTTTACTAAATTTGATTGTAAAATGAGGAGATGTTTTCAAATTCATAAATAAGCAGGTGGATATTGAGCAACTAAAATGCCAGAAAATAACATACAAGTTACTGAAATTTTCAGAATTCTTCATCAGGCTAGATGGTACAAAAACCAAGAGAGGAAGAAGAACTAGAAATGCCCCGAATTATGTCAGAGTTAGCAACAAAGTGAACTCACATAGAATCTTTCTTGACTTACATCTACAGCAGTGTAAATATCCAAGCTAACCCACCCACCTTTTCTCCTGCTACATCACTATACTGTGTTTTTCGTAGTGTGATTTTTGTCTCATGCCCAGTTCATATGAGACAGCTTTAAAACATCCTGTTTTCCTCCTTATATTTCACAGATTTTTTCACTGAAAAATGCATTTAACTGAAAAATGAATCAGCAGTACAGTCAGGTGACCCAGTTGAGATAGTACCAGGCTCACATCTCTCACTTTAAGCTGTTGTACAACTTTAAGCTGTTGTAGGCACATTGCCTTCCTGGACCTTGTTTTCCAGGACTGATGGAAATTTTCCAGGCAACAGGAAATTTCAGGTGTTTCCAACCAGGATCTCCACCTGTGCCTTTCCAGGCTCTTAGGTGGCCCTGGTTTGGAGATCTGCATCAGCTTGAACAACCGTTGACTGGTGGTGATAGTGGGACTGCATAGTGGTTCTCTGCTGTTTCATGGAGCAATGCTTCATTTCATTTCATTTTTCATTTTATTAAATTTGTATACCGCCCTACTCCCGAAGGACTCAGGGCGGTGAACAGCCATAAATAAAACATATAGATACAAAATTTAAAATAGAAATAAAACTAATTAAATAAATTTGGCTAAGACATTTTAAAACCCCAATAAATTAAAACCAAATTTAAAATTCCATTTAAAAAGAGGAAAAGTTTAGGTCAGGCCAGCTTGATGGAATAAAAACGTCTTAAGCGCGCGACGGAAGGTACGCAGATCCGGAATCCTCCGTATCTCCGGGGGGAGCTCGTTCCAGATCGTAGGTGCCCCCACAGAGAAGGCTCTCCCCCTGGGGGCCGCCAGTCGACATTGTTTGGCCGACGGCACCCGGAGGAGCCCCTCTCTATGGGAGCGTACTGGTCGGTGGGAGGCTATTGGCTATTGGCTATTCTTGAATTTTTAAACCAGGATTTCTCAACTTTATCAACTCTAGATAGGTAGACTTCAATTCCCAGAATTCCCCAGCCAGCATGCTTTAAGTCAGGGGTGTCAAACTGGTGGCCCGCAGGCTGGATGCATCACATGCAGGCCATGCCCATTCCAGCTCCTCAAAGAGAAAAAATGTGATTGTCATAGTGAGTTTTGACAGAAATCTCAACTCAGCAATCTTGCCATCCATCAAAACTCATTCTTGTGGAAATGCCGGGGTCTTGTAACTAAAGCAACTTAGCTGAGCTGATAATTTTTCTGTCAAAATTATCATCCTGTTCCAATCTGGTCTATGTGTCCACATGCAGGAATTGAAGGGCAAGATCATTTTAAAGGGCAAGAAGATTGGATATCTGGAAGATTCTCTGAATGAGCATCCAGACAAGATGCCTGAACGGGAAGAAGTTATTGAGGAGGAAGGAAATGAGATAGAAGAAGAAGCCCTGCGCAGTGAAGACAAGAGAAAAGAGAAGGTATGTGGACACTCTCCTGGATGGCCTGCTATTTACAATTAGAGAACGCAACCTGAATCTCTATTTTGTACCTTCCAGAAAGTTCCCCAAAATCATGCCACCTAAAGTCATTGGCAAATCTTAGAAATAGCAATATTTCTGCTGATTTCACCCCAAAATGGTCTCCAGTAGATTCATTTACTTATTAATGTTTAATCTCTCCCTTCTTGCCATGACAAAATTTTGCTCCTCTCCCACTTTTGGCCAAATGTGGCTTCTAGGAAAGAGTCACTATCATATTTTAACAATAGCCATTTTGGATACAATACTTGGGGAGCTGGGATGTGTGTGTGTGTGTGTGTGTATACACTGCTAGACTGATCAATTGTGTAAAAGCAGAACTTGAATAGATGAAAGTACAAAGGTGTCAAGCTCTATATGCCAAAAAAAAAGATACTTTTTCCCATTTTTGGCAGGAGTATTAATAATCTGCAGATGAACATTATATTTTTTTTCAGAAAGGTAAACATTCCCTCTCCAAGGAACTTTCAGATTGTATTATCTACTGTAAGAGTGTACCTTTCTGCAGCTTCCAGCATTCTTGCAGCCACTACAAGTCATATGAGATGTCTTCCTTCACGGAATCCAAAGCTCGCAAGCTCATCCGAGAAGCTGGTGAGAAACTGGGGATGAAATCTGCTGGCAGGCAAAATGTTTGGGCCAAGGATTAATGGGTATACAATTTTGCCAAATGCTATTCTTGCTCATTCAACTTACTGTTAGAATACAGCAGATACAGGCAGGCTGCGATTCCAGTAATTTTGTATCAGATTGAAAAATATAAAAATATGTAAAGCCAGCCATAAAGACACAATAAAGGTAAAGGTTTCCTGTCGGTCATGTCCAACTCTAGGGCACGGTACTCATCTCCTTTTTTTGACTGAGGGAGCCAGCGTTGTCCAAAGACAATTTCTGTGGTCATGTGGCCTGCATGGCTCTACACCAAAAGTGCATGGAAGGCTGTTACCTTCTCACCGAAGTGGTACCTATTAATCTACTTGCATCTGCATGCTTTTGAGCTGCTAAGTGAGCAAGATACAGTAAATAATATTAATATTATAATCAACATCATCATCATCTTATGTAAACTGAGAACTCTCCCCATGTGTATATTATTCATCCATGAGGTAATTTCAGCACTAATTAGACCCATAGCATTGGTTAAAATGAATTTTACTAAAACTGGAAGATTCTGCAATTTACAAGTAACAGTACCTATCAGGCCTTGGAAAGGATGTGAGAAATATCTATTTTCCTCCTTTTATTATGAAGTAACTATTCTACTCACATTAAGGTTTTCTACAATACTCTTTCTCAAAGCTCTGAGAAGGGAGGGTCTCTTTTTTTAAGTTTGTCCTGAGGCCTAGCAAGGCATGCATACATAGTACATTTTTTTGGTGTCTACGGATCTCGATAAATGTTAGGTATTCTAGTATTAAAATTCTGCTAGTCTTCTTACTTATTTAATTATCTTAATTAATTATCTAATTAATCACTGCTGTCTTTACTGAATTCCTAACAATTGGTGCACTATTTCTCACAGGGAATGACTTTGTCCGCCATAATACCTGGCAACTGACACGGATCTTCCCCAGTGGGTTACGGACGGACTCTTCCAATTTCAACCCCCAGGCGATGTGGAATGTGGGGTGTCAACTGGGTATGCAAAAGAGGAAAGGGACAAGGAGAAGATGAGGAGGGAAGAGAATATACTGTAATGACAATTCTCAGAATTTCCAGAATGGATGGCATTTGTTTGAGTAAGACTGTTATACACAACAGTCTAATTCACACCATACTCTAAGCAGTTGTTTGTTGGTTAAACATTTATAGGGTAAGCCTATAAATGTTTATACAGCATTTGTAGGTAAGCCCCTCTTTGCAGATTTTACACTTTGCACTGAGCCATTTTACAAACCACAATAGATGATTTCATGTATCCTGTGAATTATTCTCTGCTGTACCATGGTTTATTGAAACCGCAATTGTCTGGATTTGCATAGCACAAGAGGCAACCCACATTGTGGCTTAATGTATTGTGTGAACTTGGTCAGTGTGTTAGACTGGGACTTAAATTTGTATTACAGAGAAAAAGTGATGTTCCTCTCTCTCTACTGTTTTTTCATTGGTCTCTTCTCTCAATGCTTATCTGGAAGTACTCTATGGATAGGTCTGAGGTTCTAAGGTTAAAAGTAAATAATAAAATAACTGTTCCTTCTGATCTTCCTCATTTCAGTGGCCCTGAATTTTCAAACGGCTGGTACAGAGATGGACTTGTATGATGGACTTTTTAGTCAAAATGGCCACTGCGGTTATGTGTTGAAGCCAAGTTTCATGAGGGATAGAGAGACAGCCTTCAGCCCTGAGGACCCCCAAAGCAGGGGTGAAGGTAACCCCTTGAGCTTAATTATTAAGGTACTGTACGTGTCTGTACCCACACTTTAACTTTAAAGATTTGGGGGAGGTTAAAAAAATACATATCTTCCTTATACTCAGCTAGGCCAATGATCATAGAGTTCGGCCCATCCCCAGGCTCTTAAAATTATATTTAAACATATTTGTTGCTATATCTTTATGGCTCAGTAAAGTCCACAACAACCAATAAAAACAATAATTATATTTTAAATGAATTTCCCCTTAAATTTCCCCTGTATATTGGCAATTTCTATTGGAATGTCCTTTTTTTTACACCAGAAAGTCTACATATGAGGAAATTAACTAAGGAATTAAATTTGGGGAGAGCTGCATTTTATGTTGCCTGAAATGGGGGGAGAAGGGGGGCAGAAGTGACACATGGCAAAAGGCAAAAATGAAAACAGTACCTAAAGGGAAGAGTATCTTTTTTTCTCCACTTTTCCCTTTCTTATTACTGCTGCCACCCTACTCTTCTCCTCTCCTTCCAATCAAACCAGTCATTTACTTTTGTTGTTTACAATTCACATCTCCTCTTTATGGAGCGCAGGTTCATTTTGCCAGCTACACAAAATAATAGATACAATGAAGGAGCTCTCCAGGAGCAACGGCTAGACTCAAGTATCAAGTATTTTTCAAAGAAAAACCAGAGAGTCCAGTTGCCCTTTGAAAAAGCACCTTTGGGACAACCAGTTAGGACCTAGGTCACACAAGCAGCGAGCGAGCGAAGCTTTATCTACCCATGCAGAGGACCTAGGTTGCGTACGAAACCATCCCCTCTTGGTTCATGGAAGACAATTTTTCTTCCAAAACTGGTCCGTGGTGCCAGAAAGGTTGGGCACTGCTGATCTAGCAGACCCTCCAGCTTCTGTATTCAAAGGAAATGCTGGTGGAGACCTTTGAGAGCATTTGCCAGAACAATAGCTGGCTCAGTCACATCAGTGCCAATGCAAAAGTGGCACTTCTAGGGTCAACTGGCAGCTGGGGACAAAAGAAGCCTTGGTGATGCTAGGACTCCCAATGAGTTTCTCTCTGTGTTGAGCAGTATGTTGCAAGTTTTAGCAGTTGGTACTTTGCAAGTTCTGCCATGTAGCTTTGACATGAGTTTCAAGATCGTGCGATTTTCTCTTTCAGATCATTAGTGGACAGCAGCTGCCCAAGATTCCCAACAGCAAAGAAGGCTCCATTGTGGATCCATTCGTGCGAGTGGAGATTCATGGGATCCCTTCTGACAATGCCAAGCAGGAAACCAAATATATTGACAACAATGGTGAGCCAGTCTTAGTGTAAAGATGAAGGAAGCTGGGCTTTAGATCTTACACATTTTCCATATTTTTATTTCATTTGATTCAATTCATATAGCTGCCCACCTCACAAATGTGACTCTGGGCAGTTCACAAGCAAGCGGTGCCTGAGAACAACTTCTTATTATACCTTCTCAGCTCGAGGTTTCCACAACTTCACACCTGTGGATTGGTTCACCTCGGACTGGACAGAGGGGCGGGGTTTCTACAATGTTTAACCTAACAATTTTGAGCGGGAACTTCAGATCCTGCCTATTCCTCTTGCTATCACTATCTCCCAAAAAGGTTCCTTTTGAAATGCTGCCTGTTTCAAGAGTTCTGTTTTCTTGAGGGGATAGAAGAGGCAAGTCCTTACAATCAGTCTCAGCAACTTTAAGATGTGGAGTTGCTGATTCTAAGAGTTGGAGTCCACACTTTTTAAAGTTGTTTAGATTGAGAAACACTGGTCTAAGGGAAAGTTAAAAGGGACACTGAAATACCATTTAGTGATGGCATCTTCCCTTTATTTCAAAATTCATAAATAGGTTTTAACCCACAGTGGGGTGAGTCCTTTCGGTTCTACGTGTGGGTCCCAGAACTGGCCCTTCTACGTTTTGTGGTGGAAGATTATGACAAGGCATCTCGGAATGACTTTGTGGGGCAGTATACACTACCTCTCACCAGTGTCAAAGCAGGTATGGGACTCCATATTCCACTAGTCAAGAGGTGGCGTTACCTCACACCAAGTCCTGGGGATAAAAATAAAATGGTCCTTGTGACAAATGGGTTGGGGGAAATCATTTGCAACCACATTGGTTATTCCACTGCAGTAAAAGTTAATTATAATAGGCCATGACCCATCTGGCTGAATCTCTTGTCAAAATATTATCTGTACTGCTAGGAATTTGTTAGGTCTTCTACCAAGGATGTCCTTCTTTCAGCCCAACTCTAGCAAAAAAAGAAAAGAACATGTGCATTGAATCTTTCTTCAGGTGACATCAGTGAGCTATATCATACATTTCCAAATTTAAAGTTCTATCTTCCTTTATTTGGCAGCAACTAGCATATCAATATGCTATACAAACTAATAATGAGCCTTCATTAAAATGTGTGTACAATAATGTACTAAGTTGGTTTTTAGTTCAAACATATTTTTTTCACAAGTTCACTTTCTACTACAAAATGTCTTAAAAGTAACTTGCAGTATAGAAAAATAAAGATATAGAGGCACGGACATGGATGGATCAACCTTCAGAAGTTCCCTGACTCTACTTTGTCCTCATTATTTGAATGGGATTTTTATCTATGTCTGTCACTGTAGCAAAGCCAAATAACAAAATGTTGTGGAAGAAAAAGAGATCATGTTGTCCTGTCTTGTGAATAGGAAACTAATATTGTTCATGTATAGCCATAGAGTCACCACTTCTTGGAGTGGTATGGTGGCCTAGAGGTGGAGCTCTCGCCTCACAATCAGGAGGCTGTGAGTTCAATCCTAGGTAGAGGCAGATATTTCTCTCTTTGGGCACACTGAGAATGTATCTGCTGAACAAACTTCTGCATTGGTGATAGGAAGGGCATCTGGCCATTAAAACACTCTACTAGCTCCCTTCAGTTGCCCAGACTCCACCCTGCAAGGGATTATGGGGTTGTTAAAAGAAGATGATGATAGCCAGGGAGTCACCTTGGGTCAAATAAAGGAGATGGAGGAACATGGAATGTTTCAAAACTATCTGAAGGATCAGAGCTCAAAATGTGATCCAGTTCAAGCAGGAATCAACAACTAAAAAAAGTTGTTTCTAACGATAAACATCCTTCTGAACTTCCTTCTGGCTATTTACAAGGGACAATCCAGTGTTTAAAGTAAAACTGCAAGCTATGTATGCAAATACTTTGGCATGTTGCTTTGCTGCTCTATCTTATCTCTAAAGGCTGAGGTAGCAAGGGTGGGAGAGAGCTTAACAAGCTGTTAGCCAATAAGAGGAGGCAGTTCTGAATGAAACAACCAATGTGATTCCATTCAAGGGCTGGTCTTTTGAATCCAAGTGTCCAGCGCTGGCAGAGGGAAGTGTTGCAAAATATGCAGTTAGAAGAGCTCTGAGTCTCCTAATGTGTCCTATGTTCTCTTAGTTAGCTTCTCCTGCAGACGGACAAGACAGAAAAAAAAATTGGCCTTGTCCTGCTTAAAATAAACCTCTTTTTTTTTTTTTGCACCTTCTTTTCCCATACAGGATACCGCCACATCCATCTTCTTTCGAAGGACGGCACTGGGATCTCACCAGCATCACTCTTTGTCCACATTCAGATAAGGGAGTTGGCAACTGAGAACGATTAAATCGCATTTCTGCATCACACAATGCAACTCTTCCTTCTCTGCCCCCTTTGGTTTGGAGAATGAGGGTGAATGAAGGAGACAAGAATTAAGGTGTTTGTTTTTTTAAAAATCACCCTATCTGCCAACCATTTCTTACTTCTATGCAGAATGGAATTTGGACACATTGTTTTCCACGAGTACATTTATTTTTTTAAAAAAAGAATACCAATTGTATTATTTCGCTTGTTTATTTATTTTTATGACTGTGATTTGCTCAGGTCTCACCTTATAATCTACCTCCGCCTTGTAAGGAATCCAGCCTACCTTGCCCTGACAGAGCAAAATTCTTTTAATAATGTTTTCTATAATCGTGGACTTACCAGGAGAGCTTTCTTAAAGTACTATTCACCAGGCCTTGAGCCAGAAGAAATGTATGCTGGCTTAAACTGTGCTGCTTTTATTGCTGATTCTGCAATAGTAATGAGGCTGGTGAAAGCTTTATCCTATTGTGGGCTAAGTCTAAGAAAAGAATGGATGTATTTTTTTCCCCTAGCCTGGTTTCCCTTACAGGTTCCAGTAGGAAAACAGTCACTAATCACTCTCCCTTATATAGATCAGAACTGGGTGACCAAAGAAAGGTGCTTAAAATGATGAATTAGCCACCTGTCAGGTAGGGAGGGATATGTGGCATGAAGCAGGAGAAAAAGGGTCTCTAATCTTCCTGTTTGGTGCAACTTTTTCTCTTCAACTGTGACATGGCAAACAAGTTTTTTCTAAAAACAAGACTACTACATTGTAGAAAGAGTACAAAACCTCTGTTCAAACATAATGTGGCTGAGCTGCATAGAAAGGAAAGAAGATGACCTTGACAGAATCATTAGCCAGGCAAAGGAAGCTGAGACATTTTTTAAGCCTTGGGAAAGAAGATAATATTCAAGAGCAGATGCTCCTTAATCACTGGATTATAAAAAAAAGGGGTGGGTGGGAGGGGAGAGGTACAACACAGTCAGATTTGCAAGATTGATGTCAACCCCACTAAGTCAAAAACCAGAGAATGAGATCAACTCTATAAGAAGACTAGAAGTATCTTTATTGAGATTGGCTGGACAGGAAGTCCTTGTTTATCAATCAATTCTTTGGCAACTATGCAAAGTTATGACAGCACTGAAATAGAAGACTTCCAACTAACTGGTTCCTAGAAAATGCAGCTTTTGCAGTGCCTCCATGGTCGTGATTCAGGCATTTGGCAACTGGCAAGCATTTATTATGGTCACGGCATCCTATGGTCAAGTGATCACCATTTGCGCCCTTCACAACCAACTGCCAAGAAGCAAAGTCAATGGTGAAGCCGGCAAGAAGTTACAGTCTCATATTACACTTAATGATCCAGAGTGATTTGCTTAAGAACTGTAACCAGCAATTTGTGTTTTCTCTCTCTCTCTCTCTCTCTCCCTCTCCCACTCCCTCCGCCCCCCCCTCTCCCATATGTATGATTAGGCACTTGTCAAGATCCCATGGGCTCCCTCCCAATTCATGAGAGATAAACTTTTTTGAGTTAGGATGCCCTTGCCAAAATCTTTAAGATGTATGTGAACCTGACATGTGTAACACTGTGATTTGTATTTTCCACATGGAAGCAGTTCATGTTTAAATGGATGTCATCAAGCATTATAAATATATGAATTTGGGTGACTTCACTTTCAGGCAAGAAATAATAAGAACATACTTCACGGATTTTTTTTAAAAAAGAACTTTCAAGAGGTTGGAGGATCAGAATAACAATTGGAAGGGACCTTGGAGGTCTTCTAGTCCAATCCCCTGCTCAGGCAGGAAACCTTATACCATTTCAGATCAATTTCTTTTCTGAGCTCAGTGGAGCAGACTTTCTTTCTAGCATTTATTACCAGGAAATTTTTGACAGTCAGGTGTAATCTACTATTAGTTTTATAAAAGAAACCAATGAGCTAGGATCAAATTGGTAATAGTTTTCTGAAATTCTAGCAAAAGATGTTTATCGATAAGTTTATTTTTTCTATGGCTCCTCTAGAATTTTTTTTCTTAGAACAAAATCTTTGGGAATATTACAAAATGTTGAAATCTCTCTTTCCTGATACATTGAAGTTGCTCACCAGCCATCAATTATTTCAGCATTTTACATTATATTGAGAGACAGCTTCTCTCATGTAGGGTATTTATTGGAAATAGAGATTAGCAGCTGGAATACCACTTCCAGAATCTAAAGAAACAAAATTGATAGCTAATGAAGAGTGAAATTGCATGCTGCCTGTAGATTGGGTAGCAATAGCATGCCATTAGAATGTCATTTGAACCTTCTTGCACCTACTTTAACCAGGACCAAGGTAGCCCTGAAGATCTATTGCAAAACTACCTTCCTCGTGTGCTATGGACCCCATATCCATGCTTTGCTCTCTAGCTCACCTAAACAATCCAATATGCTTGGCTTTCAACATGGTTATGCTTAATGTGATATCTAATGTAACTGCAGTGTGTGCAAAACTCCCTTGAATGCCATTGTCTCTCAAGTACAGCTTTCTTTGTAAGAACCTATAAAAATTGTTTATCCAAATAAATGTATTACTTAAGAGAATTGTTCAAATTATTTTTAAAGTACAGGGGTTTTATTTTTTAAAAATTTCAGAATGGATGTTATTGCAACATTTATTAGTATGTATGTTAGAAAAGAAAGTTAATCTTTGTCATGCCCCCCGTTGGAGCATGAGCAGAGGTGGCACAGTGGTTAGAGTGCAGTACTGCAGCTACTTGAGCTGACTGCTAGTTCAGCAGATCAGCAAATCAAATCTCACCGGCTCAAGGTTGACTCAGCCTTCCATCCTTCAGAGGTGGGTAAAATGAGGACCCAGATTGTTGGGGGCAATATGCTATTTAGTATACTGTCTTTGGTGTAAGCTGCCCAGAGTCCTCGGAGAGTGGGCGGCATAGAAATATGACTAAAATGAATCTGAGAAGGATGACGAGCCAGAGCTGGAGCCGACAGAGATCGAGGGGGCAGCTTCATTGGCTTCAGAGGAATGTGGGGAGGAGCAGGACGAGGTAGCCCAGGGCCCTTCAGGATTGGGACATGCATGTTAGCAGGGGGGAACGGGGGCAGGATTACCGAGAGAGGGCAAGCACTGGAAATGAGGAGCAACAGAGCTCAGGTGATGAGCAAGGACTGCCCCTCTTGATCCCTGAGCATGGAGAGTGGAGAGAAGGCAGGAACAACGTAGGCCGACCAAACGACTTGGGAGGAGAGTGCCCCGCCCCTCTTCACAAGGCACACTTGGGGACTGAGATTTAAGGAGACGCTGTGGGGAGGGGCATTTGTCGGGAATGAACGCTGAATTTATAGTGTTTTGTGTGCCGTTGAAGACATTTGGAGTTTGCAGGACTGCCTGCTTCTTCCTTGCTTCGTGGACTCATTATTTATTCCTTGCTTTGTGGATTCATTGTTTGTTCCTTGCTTTGTGGACTCATTTCCCTGTTCCTTTGCTTTGCTGGACTGCGTGCAGCCAGAGGCTGCTGTGTGTGTGTGTGCATGCGCTTTGTTCTGGGACTTTCAAGAATGTGGGAGTGTTTGGGGAAATTTGGAGCATTAAAGGGGAGTTTGAATTTCAGCTGGCTATGTGCCTTGTCCCAGGTCATCACAGTCTTGATGGGTGACACTGATCATAACCTGAGTCCCTGAACCTCACTTACATAAGTTTCATTAGGAATCTATCAACATAAAATAGATTCTGCAGAACCTAAGCTTCCTATTCCACACTTCAGATACACTTCAGGTTCCATGCAATATACAGGAAGAAATTAAAAAGATTTAGAGAATATTTATCAACCTCACCTTCTAATGCGTTTGGCTTATTTCCCCAAGTGTGGCAATCCTTCAGCATAAGTAAAGGACCCGAAAAGGTCTGGTTGAAAGTCTATTTAATTATGCTGAGATTCGTGTTTCAAACTGAAATCAGAATAGAAACAGAATCACACAAGTTACTTTTAAAAGTAAGAGCAAGTTTTGTGCAGGCAATTTCTGTTAAAAGTGTCAGACATGCAGGGTATCTATTTTGTATGATTCTTTTCTAAAGTAAAGCAGAAAGTCTCATACAGCCCAATCTTATGCTTATTCACTCAAAGCTGTAATATTTAGTCCTTCGGCAGTTTGCATAAAATTATATCTAGTTGCAACGTATCTTCCTAGTACAGATGCAAGGTTATGTGATACATCCATGGAGATATAAGCAAATCAAAGTAAAAGGAAACATACATATAAGCAACAGGAGCAATCTGGACAAGAAAGAACGACAGATTCCAATGGGAAAGGTACAATTATCTCCTTTTGTTTTGCTACTTTTGTACGCTTGCTTTTGATTGTATAATTTCAGTTTATTTGGCTGATGAACTGCAGGCAGAATAAAGAAGAAAAATTGAGGGCTTTATATAAAAGGGACAAAGAAACTATTAAGCCTTTTATCCCCAAAACAATTGTTTGCATGTTACTAGAATAAATACTGCAGCAGAATTTTGTTGATTCTGTATCTTATAGAAACACACAAGCCTATTTGCTTATCTGAATATCCACAAAAATTGGCACGTTTTAATTGTCGCATCCAGAAACACAGCTTTTATGGTGTGCCATACATGTAAGAATTATGTGGCATTTCAAGCCTGGAAGACAAGGCTTAATATAGAAGTTTCCCAGTTTACAATAACTTATTAAATGCAGCTACTATATAATCTTTGCTTGTCTAAAACACCTGATAGGGAATAACTCAGGGGACAGAACTCTTCTTCCTGTCCTTCTAGAAGGCTGATATTACCAGAAAGGATGAGACCATATTTTGTTGACCGTGTAAGACCATTAGTAAGAAAGCTGCTCTATTTTATTCTTAATTTTACAGACTGCTTTTTTCAGAATTTAAAAGTAGTATTGTGTCTTTAAAAGTAGAATAGCAACTGTTTTCTGTTTTCCACCTGGAGGCTCTTCCCTGTTCTCACTCTTAAAACATGTAGTAATATAAAAATGGGCCTGAAAAACAGAACTGTCAGGCCACTTTGGAAGGTATTTTGAAAAATCACAAGCGAAACATTGTACCATTGAAATTCAGCTATTTTGCCACCCAATTTTGGTGATGCAATCTCTGGAAACTGGGAAGCAGCATGGTAGCCAATTGCTAACCTAAGTACTGCAAAACAGCAACTCAATAAATCGTCTAGAACAGTGATGGCGAACCTTTTTTCCCTCGGGTGCTGAAAGAGTGCGCGCAACAGCGCGCCTGCGTGCCGACACCCATAATTCAATGCCTCCTGCAGATCCCACCCCTGTGCATGCACGCACAACCACCCCCCGCACGCCCAACCTAGCAGGCCTCCCTGAAGCCTTCTGGAACCGAAAATGGGGGGGGCGCTGCAACCCCCACCCCTCATGCATGTGTGTGCAACCCCCGACACATACATGCGCAACCCCTGCCCCCCACACATGCACGCACATCTCCCAGCAGAGACCTGAAAATCAGCTGGCTGGCAGGAGGCGTGTGGGCATGCGCGGTGGAGCTGACCTGGCTCGCGTGCCCGCAGAGATGGCTCTGCGCTGCCACCTGTGGCACATGTAGTTCGCCATCACAGCTCTAGGAGCTGTCGTCAAATTATCTCATTATTTAAGAGCTGAAGCCACTGGATTATTTCCAAAGCTCTAAGACTAGCAGGTTTTCAAGCACTTGGGAATATCAAAACCTGTCTTCCATCCCTACTCTGTTGCTAGTGTAATTATGATTTAAGTCATCCTTGGTGTTCTTTGAGCTTGGTTTTTTCATTACCTATACTAGGTAACATCATCAGTGTGCTAGTAAAGGAGTATATTCTATGCACATGAAGTTCCATCTGGAGTTCTTTGGATGCATGTCATTCGCATTTTGGAGGAACTGTCTGAACAATTTACCAGAA